CCTGTTCCCAGCCTTTCCGGTCACTAGCTAGGGTCTGAGCAACTATCCTTTAGTCCTGCTCTCTCACACTGTCTACGCAGATACCAGAATGACAGGTCTTCAAGGTCTTCTAGCTTCAGATCCTGGATCTACCTCTCAAGTCCAATTGTACCATCTCCCTAGGCCTCACTTTTCTCATTTTAAAAACAAAAGCCATAATCGTATGCATTAGGGTCGTTGTACGAATTAAAGTCGATACTAAATACACTGACTAACTTGGCGGTTACACGTGACCAGCCCCTCACACACTTTCTGGCCTTCTCCAGGTAGTTCGAGGTCCAGACACCTAAAAACTACATGTCCCAGAATGCCGTGCCAAGAGGGCATCCGGTCACGTGTCCCAGGGGAGGCCTGCCGGAAGTTTCAGGATGGCAGGGATTTTCCTGCCTACTGTAATCCCTTCTGATGCCCTAGTGCCTTCCAGATGCGCTACCCGCTGGTGGCAGCTTCACGAAGCTTCGCATTCCAACCCATCCAGTGGTTTGTTTGGCTTTAATATGGATGCATAATGTTTCTTTAACTTTTCTTTAAATTGTGATTTGAGTAAATGTACAAAGCTTATTGGTTTTTCATTCTCTCATTCATGTACATTTTGGTTTATGACATTAATTACAATGTCCACAATGGCTGATCGTCCGTTTATTGTGCTCTGCTTTATCCCCACCATCTGAATAAGTGTCTTTTGTTGTTGTGTCCTATAAAATCGGAACCGACTCATAGCAGACCCTCTGACAGGTGTTCGGAGGCAGTTAATCGCACGGGAGGAGACTGCCCATCCGTCTCCCGGCAGAGCCGCTGGTGGCCTCGAACCTCGTGCCTTCGCGATTGCAGAACTCTGGTAGCCCAACGCAAGAAGCTGCGCTGCAGTCAAGGCCTCTGAAAACCCTCCAGAGGGTCAGCTATCGGTGGGTTATGACTCTAAGGGGCACAACAACAACCAAGAGCCTTTTATCTATTTATTAATTCTTACTCCACTCTTCTTCCCTTCCTATCCCGGTAATCATTCAGCAATGATTCTATCTGTGCCGTCTAGTGGCTTTGTAGACAACAAATTTTTCTGTTAAACCCCTTTCTGCTGATGTGAGACAACCTAGGAGTCTCATTGATTGTGGTGTGTACAATGGTACAACTACTTTAGAACACAGTTAAACAGTTGTTTATAAATATTTTAAAAACTCAAGCAATCAAACCCCAGTAATTTACTCAAGACTCAAGAAAACAACGGGGCAAATAGTTAATCACTCTGTGCCTGAGTTTTCCTCATCTTAAAGTGGGGATAATGATAGCACCTACCTGTCAAAATAAGGAGGCCTGGTGGTAATCAGCTGCTAGACAAAAGGTTGGAGAGTCCGATTCACCAGCAGTTCTGTGAGAGAAGGAAGTGTTGGTTCGCTTCTGCAGAGTACAGCCTGCGAAGCCCTGTGGGACAGTTCAATTCGGTCTTACAGGACTGCTATTGATAGCACCCAACACAACCGTGAAGATATGATCACAGCAAGACCAGTCCATGAATGTTTAAAGCAACATCATTCATCATTGCTCCAAGCTGTAAACAACCCAAATATCCATCAATATCGGAAGATATAAGGTGTGGTACTTCGTACAATGAAAATCACTCAGAAATTAAGAGAAGGGAACTGACACACACAATAAGATGCACTTCAGCAAACACGAGTGAGAATAGCCAGACTCAAAAGAAGATATACAGTGCGTGTCACCTGTGGAAGGGTGAGAGAATCTCCCTTTGGGGAAGAACTTGCTGACGAGCTGTGAAGACCCCAACCAGCTAACAGCTGGCAGGTGTAGCACCCCTGGGATAATACCAGCCAGATCTGTGCAGGCCAGGACTCACTATGGGAAATCTTTGCCCTGGACCCTCCGGTAAGAGTGGCTGAGAATTTTCTGAATTGCATGAAGCCCAAGATTCCTCCTGTCCAAGCCTCCTTCCTTCTCCCTGTCTTTTCACAGGAGTCAGACTTGTACAGTGGCCTGAAGGTTCACTGCACATACTCTAGCTTCTTCTCCTTCATTTTCTTTGCAAGTTTTACCTCCCAAAAATTCCCAGCATTGCCAACTCCACACTGCTTCCCAGGGCTCCTAACAGCTATTTGGTTTCTATGAAATGCTGAGAGGCAAAAGCAAGTCTTTAGAGACAGAAAACAAAATCAGCAGCTGAACCAAAGGTTACCAAGATTGACTGCAAAGGGGCATGAGGAAACTTGATGGAGGGATGCAAATGTTCTGTACCATGACCAGTGGTTTATACACTTACACATTTGCTGAAAGTCACTGCCGTGTACAATTAGAATGAGCAAATTTTATTTTAAGTAAATGATACTTTAGTGAAGATTATTATTTTAAAAATATTTCTGGAAATATCTAGAGTGGGCAGTGATCACAAGACTGTGCATCTGTCAAATCACACAGAATTGCACATGAACAAAGAGGAAGTGTACTGTGTGTCAATAAAACAATAAATCATGGAAACAGCAATTTTTACTGCTTTTTTGGTGTGATTATTCCTGAAAAGGACTTTGTCATTCAGACAAGAATGTGTTAAAAGCTTTCTGCTCCAACCGTCCAATACAGTAGGCACCTCACTGACAAAAGGAGTGGGAAGCCTTGAGGATCTGTCACCGCCTTAGTCAGGGAGGTCTTCCTGAAGGGGAGGAGGGGGCCTGGTTCATGGCTGACCAAACAAGAGGAAGGATTCCAGTGGCAAGTGACTCAGCCTTGGGTTCTACCTGGAATACCCCTCTGCTCACCCCTTTGCTGTTTCCAGGGAAACAAGGAGCTTGGAATCCACATTGCAGTCACTTAGCAACCGGAAACCTGTGGCTGGAGCCACCTGCCAAGTTCCTTCCATCATCCTGGTCCCTCATCTCAGGGATGGGCTCTGTTCTGCCCAGATAGTGGGGGCCCAGCAGGGAAGCACCTTCCATCTGCTTCCCTTCTCACCCACTCACAAGCCTCACTGGACCATCGGGGACCATAGGTAAGTCCATCGAATGTGCTGGAAGGAGCAGGGACAAGACACAGATAACCTCCAGGCCCAGAAAGTCTCCCAACATAGCTGACCCTTCAGTGGGTTTTAAGGGGCAGTAAATTTCACAGAAGGAGACTGCCCATCTTTCTCCCATTGAGCAGCTGGTGGATTAGAACCGTGTGCCTTTGGGTTGGTGGCACAACTCCTTACCTCTAGGCCACCAGAACTCCAAAAAAATTTTATGCCATAGGCAGCACATCACAAAAGGGTTCTGTGGGTACCTCCCTCACCCTCACTCAGAGTATGGCAAATATACTTGCATCACACATGAGTCGCTTGCCTAGAATTCTACAGATGGGGTTTGAGAATCTGGCCCTCCCAGAGTATAACCTTGGGAACATAAAGTCTGGGCAGGCCCAAGGTCAGCTAAGTGGCTGACTATGAAGGGGTGAGACTGGCCTGATTTGGTTGGGTTCAGGCTAAGATTTAATTCATTCATCATTTGTTCACTATGTATTGGGCCCAGGAGACCCTCGAGTACAGCTGGAAGCAAGGAAGACATGGATCTTACTCCCTTGTTGGGATTTAGTGGGAAGATAGCTATTAAACAGCAAGCAAATATTATGATATTAATATTTTGTATAAATGAAAGCATGGTAAGGGGTCAGAGTGTGACAATTCTTTTAACCTAAGTGGTTATTGTTGTTGTGCGCCATTGAGTTGATACTGACCCACAGCTGACTCTCCAGAGGGTTTTCAGTGGCAGTAAAACACACAGGAGATTGTCCATCCTTCTCCTAAGGAGCTGCTGGTGGATTCGAATGGCGGGCTTTTGGGATTGCAGCACAGCTCCTTACCGCTCTGCAGAGGCTAGTAGACAATGCAAGGAATCATTGAAACGAAGGAGAAGCTATGAAGCAGTTCTACTATGTAACACAGGGAGCCCTCATGGGCAGGAATCCATCTGAGGGCAACAAGTGGTCATAGTCGTGGATGAAAACTGAAGTCAGCTGCTATGCTCAAGGCAAAGTGGTTTCAAGCCTACGACGCAGTTTTTTTATCATCTTCAAAATGGAAATATATTTCAGAAAAATGTTGAGAGAGTGACGTAAAGGTGTATGGAGCAGGATCCAGTACACAATATACATTTAACATATCTAAATCCTAGTCAGACTGCTAGGTCTTCCGACCAGTCACCTCAGCTGTGATACAACTGTTCTCAACTGTAAAATGGGGATAACGTATTACCATCATCACATGATTGAGTTGTGCATATTAGTAAATGAACACAAATATGCTTTCAGAATATGGCTCGTAGCAAGCTCTTAAGCGTTAACTATTATTAAGAACGTATCCAATCCCGAAGACACACGGTTTGAGGGACACCAGCTGCTCCGAGGGAGACGGATGGACACCCGCTGGACAGTCAGCTATGGGCCGGTTCTGACTGGACTATACACAACAACATCTTAGATTTGTTTCCTAAATTCTTCCTCTTTTTCTAAGTCTGGAGCTTTAGAAAGGACCCTCAACCTTGCAGACCCAATGCCCAGAATAGCGGACCAGGTTGCTGCAAAGGAGATGGAGCTTTCCCTTTTTTTTTTTTTGAGGGTTTGCTGGAATTCCTTTATTGGGCCGGGGGTGTGTGGTTGGGTACAGACCTCTGCTGGACCCCGGAGATTTCCCTTTTGAAGGTCCAAGTTCCTAATCTTCGGCCAAGACCAGTGGCCGCCGCGGAACCTTAAACGTCACGCTCTGGTTTCCCGCCCGGATCGCCCTCGCGAAAGTGCCTGCGCTCTGGGGCTTACTTCCGGAGTCTCCGCCCCTCTTCCGGCAGCCCTGTTTTGGGCTCAGGTGGAAGCTGGGTGGACGCCCACGGATTGGCAGAGCGCGGACTGGTCAGTTCTCACGGGGCTGGGCCGGCTCCTCACGTTCTCGTCCTCCTGCCCTCAGCCCTCAGGAGCTTCTGGCGTCCATGGCGGGCTTGGAAGTGCTGTTCGCATCGGCGGCGCCGGCCATCACCTGCGCGCAGGACGCGCTTGTCTGTTTCCTGCACTGGGAAGTTGTGACGCATGGCTATCATGGCTTGGGCACCGGCGACGAGGTACGCTGCCGACCCGGGAGGGGAGCGGAGCGGATTGAGGGGACGATCGTCTTCTCGGACCCAGGGCGCCGGGCTGGATGGACACTGCCTCGCCCCAGGTTCAAGGTCCGGTACACGGCGCTGTTGGTGTAACCTCTGGGTCAAGGAGGTGCTCACCTGGCCCAGCCCAGCCCCGAGCGCCCCTAAACACCGCTGACACAGTCTGGTTGGCAAAGCCAAGAACAGAGGTTCCCATCGGCGCAGCCTGACAGTCTCCCAGACAAGGATCGTGTGGACCTGGCATCGGGTCTGCGGTGTTGAGACCCCGAGTACACCTCATGCAGCTGGACCTCACTCAGCTTTGGGGAGCCAAGGCAGTGTACACGTACCCTTCTGCTGTCCACGAACCCCCAGTTAACAGCTAGATCATCGGGGTATGGCTGTCAGAGCCCCGCCCCACCCTCAGCGTGGGCCCAGGGAATCCCTACACACCCCGTTTTCCAACTCACATACCCCCAGGTGCTGGGATCAGGTCAGGTTTCCCCTCCAGGGCCAGCCCCCTCTCGTTGCCCCCTTTGGGCCTGTCCACCCAAGCACAAAGTCACGCATGCGCTCTGAGGGGTGGATGTTTGAATTGGAAACCGACTGTGTCTTGTTTTTCTTCTTCTCCATTTCACAGGGTAGACTTTTTTTTTTCTCCTTTCGAAGATCAGGTTTCACTTGTCCCCCTACCCAGCCACCCCGCTCACTTCTGCAGCATCTCCTTTCAGTATAAGTAGAGATCACATCGAGAAGAATCTTCCCTGTTAGTTGTTGATGATGATCAAGTGGGAGCACAACTCAGAAGTGACAACTCATAGTGACCTTATGAACAAAAGACCTTTCTATAACTATCATCGTTTCTCAAAGTTCATAGTTTAAGAAGGTGGTTGAATTCTCTGGTGTGAGCCCAACAGACTGCTCAGAGGGATAGTGTTTCGCCAAGTTCAGAGGGAGGGTGTGTTTCCTCTTCAGCCACCTTCTGCTCCTTATCGCCTAGGGGCAATAAGAGAGAGGAAGATCCTGAGAACACTCACATGACCACTGGGTTGTTTTTTTGATGGTTGAATAGAAAGCTAAATTGTGGACCTTTCCCTTTGTTTAAAAGAACTGCGTATGTAATTCTTGATTAGGAGAGCAACACCGTGAGCCACTGCTTCAACAAAAATCCAGTCTTTGGATTTATTTCTTGAAGTCAGCACTACTTCTTGTAAGAGCTTTACAGCTGTGTAAGTGGTTTAAATTCAAGAGACAGAAATTAACTGACATAGTTAGGGAATTCTCTTCTGTTGCTTGTGATGCTGCTGACCTAGAGGCACTGGAGTGGCCTTGTGAATTGCTTCCAGCCCCAGGGTTTTGCATGGTTGGATGGATACTGCCTTTAGGGCTAGCCTGGTGGACCTGGCTGGGAATATCTCTTCCCCAGACTTGACCTAGCCAGCCAGAAGCTCTTCATTTCAGATCAGTCAAGCTGAACCTGATTGTGACTTTGGGCATTTTTCAGCCTTGGCCTTTTCATTCCAGGGGTTTAAACTGCATGATCATGCATGTTGATTGTTTTCCAGCCTTTGCATTCTGGGAGCCCTGATACTGGATGTCAGGGATTAAAGGAGGTTGAATTGAACTGTTTGGCTGGCTAGATAGCACCTCAGCCAGTCTTTTTCTATCACACTCTTCCCCATGTCAGGGCAGCTTGGGCTTGGGGAACATGGTTTCCAGCACGCTAAGAGTTATCAGTCTCTTTCAGGCTCAGGATTATCTCTTCCTTTGGAAACCAAAAATAATGAGGTGGTGAGTAGACTGAATTACACAAGAGAGAATTCTGATGGATCAAATGAAAATATAAGATAAATCAGGCTCGGCCATAGGAAGATCTAAGGTAAATCAGGAGACCCTCAGAAGAAAGACTAGGTGGGTTACAGGATTAAATGCCTCGTGTCCAGAGTTAACCTCAGAGCTCTGAACATTTTATTGGAATTTTGCTGAGGGGAGATGATGGAGTAGGCTTGATGTTAACTTTCTGTTCCTCCTCTGGCAAAGTGGTTTGGTTTCACTTTTGTTTCTGTTACTCTTTATTTCTCTGATTGAGGCCTATAAGTTTCCTTGTCATCTAGCCAGCCTTTAAACCTTGCCAGTTACTCCTAAAAGCTTTCCCCAGTGTGTTCCTGAGCTCCAGCGATTCACAAAGAGAAGCAGCTTGCAATTCCCATTTCCTGGTCTTCCAGGCTTTTTGTTCTGTATAAGCCCTGCTTTGCCAGATCTTTGTGTTTTTCTTCATTCTTTATCTCTGGTGCCACTTTCACCATTGCAGATAGACACCCACGCATAACTACAGTCCACCTGCTCCATAGTTAACTGTATAAAGTTTATCTGGGAAAAATGTGCTGCCTATTTTATGTTTGGGGTTTTTTTTTAAAAAAAAAATAAGTGATCACTTATTTTACATAAGTGATAGTAGGCTATGAATCTTCTCCACTCCCACCTCCCGACCTTGTCTTTATTTTTTCTTTTTTTTTTAAATTTTATTATTATTTATTTACAAAGTTTGAATACAATTTTTTTCCCCACAAAAGATCCTTCCCATTGCCTTCACCTCACCCACTCCTGAACTTGTCTTTAAATTTAATCTTTTACTTTTGCCTTTTATTACACAGTTAGATCTGGAACATTTCTTCTTACTATGGATGTCGTATTCCACTGTGAGCGTTTGCATTTTGCTACTGTTTGGATCCTCCAGATAATGTCCCGAGGTTTCTACAGGAGTAGGAATTATAGTGGACCATTTCAGTCTCGTGGCTGGGGCCGAAGATCTTTTTGTATTAATCAGTCTGTGCTTGTAAAGTAGAACAACCCTCTACGCTTCTGGTTTCTTCATATCTTTTCTAGTAGTTGTTTTTTTTCACACGAGTTTCCAGTTTTTAATTATTTACTTTCCGGGCATTTTCTTTACATCCTGGGGATTACTTTTTTTCCTTTGTTGTCATAGCTACCCTTTCTTTCCAGCCTTTGGCCTGCCTGTTGGCTTTCTGATGTCTGTTATTGAATGGAAGCTTTCCGTTATAAGCAATCTCTTTTTTTCCTCCAGTATTTCTTTCTTTTCTTATTGATTTGCATACAATGATGTGTTTCATTCATGTACATTGTGTTTTGTACAATCTTTCATTTACATTGTATTTTATATAATTAGTTACTATTGATCAGTGCCTGTTCTTGCCCCGAGTTCCTGAGGAATCTTGAATCTTTCCTATCCCCTCACACTCTCCATCTAAACTCCCACTAAACTCTGCTGTCCTAGTGATTTCCACCCTTGCCCCTTTTTGGTCCCTTTCCCCATTTTCTTTTTTGGACATTATACACAGGTTACTCATTATCCTTCCATTTTTACAATATGATCTTACACAATATTTATCCTTATGAAATTGAGTTCACTCAGCATGGTGCTCTCTAGACTCTGCCATGTTATATAGAGGTTTATGAAATTGTTACTCTTAAATGCTGCATAGTATTCCATTGTGTAAATGTACGATGATTTCTCAGTCCATTCATTTGTTGTTGGGAATTTGAGCTGTTTCCATTTTCTTGCTGTTGGGACTAATACCATTCTGAACACAGGTGTCCATATCTCTGGTCATTTCCTTGGGGTATGTTCCTTGCAGTGGAATGGATGGATCTTAGGGATTTTGGATGGCCAACAGACAAGAAATGCTCACTGAAATGCTGACAAGAAATAAACACTGGCAATGAGAGAAATCCAAATAAAAACAATAATGAGATACCATCACAACCCATTTGCAGTAGCAAGGTTTAACAGGACAGCAAGCAGTAAATGTTGGAGAGAATGCAGAGAGATTAGAACGTGCATGCACTGTTTGAGTGGGATTGTAAAATGGCACAACCACTCTGGAAGGCAGTTTGTTGTTTCTTCAAATATTATAAGCAATCTTGAAAATTTCTTTGAAAGCAATCTGCTTTTAAAAAGGTCACAGCCTTGAAAAGCCCAGGGAAAAGTTGTTGTGGATTGAATCACGTGGCCCCAAAGTACATGTCAGCTTGACTAGGCTGTGATTTTCCAAATTATGTCATTATCCAGTGTGCTGCAAATCCTAACCTCTGTGATTTTAATGAGGCAGGATTAAGGTCAGATTATGTCATAATGTAGTTATTCCCCGTGATGTGATCCCGGATGTGATCAGGTGTCAGGGGATCAGGGTGGAATGCAGCACAGTTAACTGCCCTGATCTGATGAAAGGGGCATTTCCCTGGGGCTTGGCCTAGAACACCTTTTGTTTCTTGGGAGGTAAATAGAGAGGATGTGAGCAGAGGGGACTTTTAGCTTCCTAAACTGTGAGAATAAATTCCTACAAAAGCCATCCAGTTGTGCCTCTCTTACAGCAGTGTGAGGTCACTGAGACAGCAGTTCTCCCCTGCAGTTTAGGATCTTATGTATCACAATCTGCGTCAAAGCTGCTGACAAGGCCCAGGGCTTCTGCCTATTGATGATGCTCTGTTTTTAACCCAGTGGTGGAGATAGATATGTGGCCATCAATTTCAGGATGCTTTTTATCTTGTATATACCGTGTGTGTGTGTGTGTGTGTGTGTGTGTGTGTGTATAAATTGTTCTTCATTTTGGTTAAACCACTGCAGCACATCAGAATCTGTATGTTTCCCCTCTCTGAATTTTATTTTTTTGTTGAGAATATACATTGCATCCCAAAAGGTGCCGTTTACATTATTAGTAAGTTATGCACTCTCCATGCTGGGCCACAAAGAGCTCACATTTGCAAAGTCCTACCCTGCCCTGTGGTGAGAGTCAAGTCAGCAATGGTTAGAAATTCCATGTCGCCGCCATAGCACATGCGCACCTTGAATCACACTGAGGAATTTATCCTCTGTTCCCACACTCTTGAGAGTTTTCATCAAGAGTGAGTGATGCATTTTATCACATGCTTTTTCTCTATCCTAACAGATTATCATGTGGTTCTTTTCCTTTGATAAATTGATAAGTTATATTAAGTGGATTGATTTTCTACTGTTGAACCATCCCTGCTGGAATAAGGCTCACTTGGTCATGGTGTATGATTGGTCAGTATGTCATTGGTTTCTGTTTGCTGTTATTAGGGTAAGGATTTTTGCATCAATATTCATAAAAGATACAGGCCTGCAGTTCTCTTGGTTTGGGATATTAACGTTATGTTTACTTTACTTCATAGGATGAATTAGGGAGTGTGCCATTGCTATCTTTTGGAAGGGTTTAAACAATATTGCAATATTGATACCAGTTCTTTAAATGTTTAGTAAAATTCCCCAGTGAAGCCATATCATCCAGAACTTTGTTATTGTTGTTGTTGGTTGGACATAGGGATTATCTCCTCACTTGTTATGAATCTGTGAAATAGACTTTATTTAAAAAAAAAAAAAACAACAAAAAACAACCAACAAAACATGTGTGATGCTATCACAGATAACTCAAGAGTCCAAACATGAAAAATTGGCCAGAACTTTTGGACTATTACTTGAGGTGATTGGCTTTATTCTTAATCAGACAATTTAGGGGCTCTAGTGGGGTAGTTTATAGGGAGATGTGTGTTGCTCAGAAGGCTGAGTGTCTCCGTGGTTCAAATCCACCAGCAGCTCCTTAGTAGAAAGATGGGTGTGGAAGAGAAAGCAGTTTACCAGGAAGCCATGGAACTGAGTCCGAGACCTCTGAGGGGCTGTGAGACCTCGGACAAGTCATTTGATTGATGTCGTGACCTCATCTGTGAACTGAAGGGTTAGCATTATTAGATTATCTGTAAAATCCTTATGGTTCTGTATTCTGAGATCCTGTTCTGCTTCCTCTCTGCCCTGGGTGTCTCCTCAGTCAGGTCCCAATGATAAGAAGTCAGAACTGCTGCCTGCTGGGTGGAACAACAGTAAAGACCTGTATGTCCTCCGGTATGAGTCCAAGGACGGGTCGCGGAAGCTCCTTTTGAAGGCTGTCACCGTGGAAAACAGCATGATCATCAACGTGCTAGTGAGTGTCCACTGGCGGGAGTGGACATTGCGGGGGGTGTAACAGCATGGATCAAGAACCTTAAATTTTCGTGGGCCTTTACCCCTGTCCCATTTCTGAAATTTTACCCCAAGTTGAGAACTCAGAAATCCAAAGTAAGAGATGCATTCCTAAATGTGTCTTTCAGTCAGTTTTGTTAGTAAATCAGAACAGGTCCTTATGGTTCTTAATGAACCTTACTTTAATGTAGGAAAAACTCATAGCCTTTGCAGTGGTACACAGTTCCACACGCAGCAAGCGAAGGCCATTGTGATGAATTTGTTACAGGTCAGGGGTGGTTAGTTTCCAAAGGAGGACCGATTCTACATAACTAAAGGGCAGCTAGGAGTTGTCCATCCTGTGTTTCCATTAACAGGAAGCTTGATGCTCAGAGATACTCACCACCTGCTGTTATAAAAGGAGAGGCTGTCCCCAGGTAATGCAAATTGCTAGCACCCTCAGCTGTTAACTGAGAGGTTGGAGGTTCAATTCCACCTACAGGCACTTTGAAATGGAGGCGTTGTGATCTGCTTCATAGTGAAACGTCAGCCACTGAAGATCCTGTGGAGCACAGTTCAGTGCTGACACACACACGTGGCTAAGAATCAGGCATCAGCTCCCTGGCGACGGTGGTGGCAGGGAGTGGGCCGCTAGATTAAAGCAGATCATTCATTGACAACACGGGAGGGAAAGGGCTGTCAGTAGCCCCAGTAAAGAGCCCTAGTAGTGCAGTGTGTCAGTACTTGACTGCTGACCAAAAGGTTAGTAGTTTGAACATAGTAGCCACCCTGAGTGAGAAAGATAAGAAAGAGCCTGCTTCTGTAAAGGTTGCAGCCTTGGCAACCCTGACCTGTAGGGTTACTATGAGTTCACATTGACTCAAAGGAAGTGGTTTCTTTTATATGCCCTTTGGCCCACTTTGTGTTTGTTAGTTAAGCTTAGTGCTGCCTTCGAGCCTTTTCACTGCATGTACCCTCTGCCTGGAACACACTTCTTTCACCATCTGTACACACACACACACACACACTCACTCTCTCACTTACTCACTCACCTTTCACTGTCTGCCCCCCTGCACACACTCACACATACACACTCACTCTCACTCACCTTTCACTCTTTGCCCCCCCCACACACACACTCCACTGTCTGCCGCCACACACATACATTCCTTCAGCCTTCTCCGCCTCTCCTTAGTGTTCACTTCCTCAAGTCTCAGTCTTCACTTCCTCGGAAAGTTCGGTCCTGATTCCCACTCACCAGAAAAATCTCAGTTCTGTCTTTTTACTCTTTAATTTTATTTTCTTGTCTGATACTTATCACAACCTGTAATTCTTTTACTAAAAATCACAGATAATTCTGTACTTATTTATGCTGTTATTGTTGCTAGGCTGTGGTAGGAGGGAGGCGACTTTCCTTGTGTCAGTCTTTGTCCCACTTGCCTTAGAGAAGAATCATGCCGTGTGCATTGTATTACGCCGTGCACTTTCCTCTCACAAAGTTTTGTTATCTCTAAAACATGGGGGTGAATGCCCCAGGCCATCTACCATCAAGTCATTTCTGACCCAGTGTCGATCCAGGTCAGAGTGGAATAACCTCCTGGGGTCTCCAAGGCTGCAAATCCTTATAGAACAGATCGCCACACTGCTCTCCTGAGTTGGTAGTTTCAAACCACTGACCTTTGGGTTGGCCAAATGGATAAGAGCATCTCAAAAGATATGCTAGAAAGCTTAGAGGACAGTGAGTTTATGTTAATGGGAGAAGAAAAGGCATAAAAAGAGGGTGAGAGTGTTTGCACGATTTGATGCTACTAAATTTTAAATATAGAAACTATTGAAAATTGATGTATGGTTTGCTGTGTATATTCTCCACAACAGCAAAATAAATAAATTTAAAGAGAAGGGGGAAAAGTTGGGGATAATTCAATAAATTGGTAGAAGAAGAAACTAGTTCAAGGATAGGCTAGCCGGCCATGCTGTGGCAGCCACCACTGCTGTCACCATCTCCAAGAATCAGCTGCTGGCTGATCCTCTAAGCCTCAGTGTCCCTTCTTATCAGCTGTTGATGTTGGGACCCCTGCCATGCGAAGCGTCTCCTCCTTGCTAGGCTGCCTCCATTCTTCTCACCTCTAAGCCAAAGTTGTGCTTCCATTTGGCACCTCAGTAGCATGTCAGGGTCCAGCTAGGAAAGAACTTTGCAAAGTGGGATTTCTTGCACTGTCTCTCTTAGAAAGACAGTGTTTCTAAGTCAGAGGACCCATCTCAACCACTGGAAGAACATTTCCCATATCACCTTGTATGTGTCTGTGCACACGCCTGTTTGGTGGAATATTTGTTGTCTCCTTTCCTTCCCTCAACCATCCGTTAGTCTAAAATTGCCCCCAGACTCTCGTTTTTCCTAATTGTGTTTTATTATGGTTTTTTTTTAGGAATGTGGTTCACAGCAAGTGGCAGACTTGACTTTGAATTTGGATGATTATATTGATGGAGAACACCTGGGTGACTTCCACAGGTACTTCCGAGTGCTGTCTTTTCCCACGGAAAAAGGTGGGAGCCAATGGCAGGATACACGGTCTAGAGAGACAATGCCCCAGGAGCTGGGGAAACCTCACAGAAGGCTCTTTCATTCCTGGGCATAGTCACATCTCAACTCTCTTTTCTATTTTTAATACATTTTAGGAGAAAACTCACATTTCGCTTCAAATAGCAGTGCCACAGAGCTAAAAATAAAGCAAATGAGTCTATAGAAGCTGCAGTGGACGTGGGGCCAGGCCAGTGGGTTCAGCAGAGATTGAGCTTCTAAAAGGAAGGATGCCTAGTCAGGGCCCCATCCCACCCCAACCTTTTCATTTTTTCCAGTTTCAGTCCCAGAGAAACGATGCAGGCATAGTGCTGGCAGCACTCCTCTATCATCTCCTAGGTTCACCAGTTTTAGCTTTTTGCCACATTAGTTTAATCTTTCTATGTTTCTGTGTACCACAGAGTTGGAACCGACCCACAGCTGACCCTCCAGCACGTTTTCAGAGGCAGTTAATCACACAGGAGATTGCCCATCCTCCCACAAAGCAGCTTGTGGATTCGAACTGTGTGCCTTTGGGATTGCATAGCAGCTTCTTGCTGTTAGGCCACGAGTGCTCCCTAATCTTTCAATATGCTTTTTTTTTTTAAAAAAAAAAACCTTTCCATTTTTTAGCTGTTTTATGAACTTTAGCCTTTAAATATGTTAGCACATATCGTAATGTTCTTATAAAGGCATCTTCCCACATAACCCCTCTATAGTTACCACACTCAAGAAATGTCACATGGATACAGCAATACTGTTTCATATACAGTCCCCATTCAGAGATCTCAGTGACTCCAGCACTGTCCATTTAGCTCTAGCTGTTTGGTTTTTTAATTTGGTTTTGATTTGGTTGGTTTTTTTCTTGTGACTCTTACCTATTCCACGGTCACACATTGCATTTATTTTCATATGTCTGTTGGTTGTTATTGTAAGGTACCATTGAGTTGGAACTGTCTCAGAGCTGACCCTCTGTTGGGTTTTTATTGTAGTCATGTGCCATCAAGTCACACCTGATTCAGCTGACCCTGCAGCAGGATTTTAAAGGCAGTAAATCGCTCGGAAGGAGATAGCCCCCTGAGCCCGTCTAGTGGGTTTTTAGAGACACTAAATTCACATAGGAGGATAGAAGAAGAATTGATGCCTTTGAGCTGTGGTGCTGGAGAAGAGTATTAAGGGTACCATGGACTGCTAGGAAAACAAACAGATTTGTCCTGGAAAGGGTTAAACCGGGTGGCTCCTTGGAGGCAAGGATTCTGGGGCTTCGTCTGACATACTTTGGACATGTTGTGAGGAGGGACCGGTCCTTGGAGAGGGACATCATGCTTGGGAGGGTGGAGGGACGTCGCAGGAGGGGAAGGCCCTCTATGAGATGGATTGATTCAGTGACTGGGGTAATCGGGATGGGAGTGTCAGAGACAGTGCGATTGACACAGGACAGAGCGGAATTTAGGGCTGTTGTACATAAGGTCACTATGAGTCGCAAGAGACTCAATGGCACATAACAACAATAACAAATCACATAGAAGATTTCCCATCTTTTTCTCACAGAGAAGTTGGTGGATTTGAACTGAATACCTTCAGATTGGCAGTACAGAATTACTTCTAGGCCGTGTTCCCTTTAATCTAGAGCACTCCCTAGCCCTGTGTGGTTTTCCATGGCATTGGCATTTTTAAGACTCCAGGTCAGTAGTAATGCAGAATGTTGTTTCCTTGATTAAACTTAACTAGATGGTTCCCTCATCTTTTGAATCAAGTTGGACTTTTTTTTTTTTTTTTTTACAACAAGGCCGTTTCTTTTTCAGGCATGTTGTGTCTGTCCATCATTCCTTGATGTTAAACTAGATCACTCACTTGGCTACAGTGATATTCGCCAGGTGTCTCTATCGTCAAGGTACCTGTTTTCCTTTGTGTTTAATAAGCAATCTGTAGGTTATACTTGGAAACTGTAAATACACCCACTCCTCACTTAGCAGTGTGCTTGAGTTTTATTCTGTGAGAACTGGCATGTGAAAGTGGAGGGCAACGGCATCCACGGCATAGCCAGGAAACTGCTGAGAATCAGGCCGGGTCACATTTGAGTCTCAGATCATCTCTTGAACTGCTAATCTTGAAATCACTTTCACCTCACAAAGACCCTGTGACAGAGAACTGCTCCTTAGGAATGCCAAGGCTGGAATCTTTATGGAAGCGAACTGCCTTGTTTTTCTCCTGTGGAGCTGCTTATGGATTTGAACTGCCGACCTTTCCATTAGCAGCTGATCATCTCACTCTTGTGCTAGCAAGACCTCTTTTCTACAAATAAAGTTTTATGATTAGCTTCTTAAAGTTGGTTTTCCTTGAGGGCAAGCCTTGGGGTCTCTCTAGGGTAGAATTGATGAGGGAATTGAAGAGTGGAGTAAAGCCAGCCTCTCCCCAATGTTGAACAGACCACATCCTTCTCCTTAAGCGAGTAAGGAAAGGACAGCTGGGGGGTATGATCCCTCTTGATGATTTCAAATGAAGCCCATTGGGAGGAAGATTGACAGAAATGATAGGCACTTTTAAAACTGTCCATGCTCAGTGAAGCACTTAATCCCCGCAGCGTCCTGAAAGAAATCGAGTTAGTGGCCCATTTATTGTTTTTAAATGTCTGTTGTTGTCAGGATTTTCTCTGGGTGTGGGTATGTGTGTTTATCATTTTATTTCTGATTATTGTGAAATGAGGGACTCGGGAGTACTATCTCAGAGTATTCTGAGAATGCAGTGAGATGTCAGCACCTAGAATTCTTTGTGTTTGGTCCCGCTCTCAGGAAGTGCATACAGGGGGAAATCACTGGGCATTCTTGGAGAGCTGGCATGCAGACTATGCTCCAGGTCGACTTCTCCTCTTCCCCAGTGTTGAGCTGCCCACTCCTCATCACGTGCCTCCAGCTGACCCTTGTGGCATGTCTCCCTTGTTTCTCGGTGCCATCCCCTTCGGTGTTAGACAAGTGACCATTGCCTTTTGCTGCTACCAAAATGAGTTGCTCACTTTCAGCAGTTTGTTAATCAGTCCTGATTTCTACAGATAAACACCTCCCTCTGGCAGCCTACTAACAAGGAGCTACACTTCCAACCTGGGGGCATGCGGTTCGAATCCACCAGCTGCTCCTTGGGAGAAAGATGGGCAGTCAAATCACATGTGATTTACTTCCTCTGAAAACTCACTGGAGGGTCAGCTATGGGTTGGTTCTGACTTAACAGTACTTAACAACAGGGAGATAAGAGACCTTTCAACCGTAGACCTTTCAAACGTAGGGTTCATCTGATTGAGAGAGCAGAGCAGGCCCTCTACCCACCTGGCTCAGGGAAGCATAACGGCCTCTGAAGTTCTAGATTCTAAGGAAGAACCTGCGATATGCACTGCTATGAGGGGCCCCAGCCCTTGAGATCCTCTGAACCATTACAGGTGCTGTACTTTTGAATCATGGAGTTTCTGCTTCAAAGCAGAGCGTTCTCTAGGGTTGGCATAAGAGTAGTGATGCCCTGATGAAAAAAGGCCAGAAATGTAGGTCCATATGCCCTGTCCAGTTGACTGTGTCCTGTGCCATCCCTGAACCTTCTTCCCCTTCTTTGCTAGCAAAACAGTGAAACCAGACTTCATTTCATAATCTCTATTTAATGTGTGCACAGTAAGTACATTTTTTAATTAAACTTTTTTCATTTGAAGTAATTATAGATTATCATTCATTGTAAGACATACATAAGAGATCTTTTGAATCCTTTATACCATTTATGCCAATGATAATATCTTCTAAAACTGTACTGTAGAATTACAACCAGGATACTGATGTTCTATAAATACAGTTGTACAGAACATCACCACAAGATCCTGCCTGATGCCCCGTCTTAAGCCTTGGCAAACACCGAAATCTGTACTCTATTTTTTAAAATTTTGTCTGTGTTTAAATTTTGTCATTTCAAAGCCATTATATATATGGAGTAAGACTGTATGTAATCTTTTAAGATTGGCTTTTCTTTTCCCTCAGCATACCTTTGTGATCCGTCCAAGTTACTGGGTACGTCACTACTTGTTCCTTTCTGTAACTCGTTGTGTTTAATTGCATGGATATACACAGTTTAACCTTTCACCAGCTGTAGGACATCTGGGTTGTTCTTTATGTCTAAAGCTGCTGTGAACATTCAGAAACAGATTTTTGTGGGATGTAACTGTTCATTTCTGTAGGATAAATTCCCAGCAGTAATTACATGTTATTGTTGTTGTTATGTACTATCGAGTCACCTGCGACTCATAGCAACCCTATGCACAGTAATTCTGAACCCTGTTCTATCCTGAGCCAGTCTCACTGTCTCTGATAGACCTGCCTCTGTTGCCCCAGTCATAGTGTCAGTCCATCCTGTCCAGGGTCTTCCTCTCCTGTGTTGTCCCTCCACTTTTCCAAACGTGATGTCCTTCTCCAAGGTTTGGTCCCTACAGGCCACAAGCCCAAAGTACATATTTAGGTTTATAAAACGTGCCAAGTTTTCCAGAGACCATATATATTTTACATTTCCTCCATTAGTGTCTCAATTACTGAATTTCTCCATACCTTCCCCAGCATTTGATGTCACTATGTTAACTATTCAGTAGGTGGATCCTGGTGTCTCATTATTATTTTACTTTGCGTTTCCACAGTAACTGTTGATATTGAGCATGTTTTTGGTTGTTGGGTTTTTTTGGTTGCTGTTTTTGTTTTTTACATTTTCACAATTATGGGGTTTATTAAGGAAATTCTTGTTGTTGTGTACCATAGAGCCGGAACTGACTCATAGCTGACCTCTGGTGGATTTTCAGAGGCAATTAATCACGTGTGAGGAGATTGTCCCATGGAGCATCTGGTGGCGTCGAACCACGTGCCTTTGGTATTGCAGCTCAGCTACTTGCCACTAGGCTACCAGAGCTTCCTATTCAGGCTGGCAACAGGATACAATGTCTCAGTCAGGATAGCTTATGAACTGTGCTTCCAGGTCCCCAGCCTTCAGCCTTGCTGCTTTAGGCCAGTGTTACAAAGTTCTCTTCATCCTGCCAATTAGGCATTCTCCCCCCTTCCCCTGCCCACCCCAAGTCCTCCAGGTCCTCCTAGCTCTAGTTCCACAGGGTAGCAGTCTCAAGGTCAGCTCTGTCTCACATCAGATCTCAGGTTCAGGGAATAAATGGTGGCCCATGTTGTTGATGATGTAGGTGGGGCTTGTGCTTGCAGGGCAAACAGAGTGGAGGTGGCTGGATCAGGTTCAAAGCATTGTCCCAGGCAAGTGAAGAGAGCTGGTGAGATTGAGCGTGTTTTTATGTCTCTTTTGCCATCAGTATCTCCTCTTCAGGGAGCTCTGGTGGCTTAGTAGGAAGGAACTGTGCTCCCAAGCCAAAGGCATGTGACTCAGACCCACCAGCTGCTCTGTGGGAGAGAATGGGCAATCTCTTCCAGAGTGCAGTTGACTGCCACTGAAAACCCAGTAGGGAGTCAGCCGCGAGTCATTTCTGACGCGATGGCACACAACAACAACAACACATCCTCTCTGGCAGAATGTTCATGCCTTTTGCCTGTTTTCTGATTGGATGGTTAACATTTCTGTTGTTGTATTTTTGAGCTCTGGTGGTGTAGTCTGTACCACTCACTGCTAATCAAAAGGCTGAGAGTCTCTGACAATTTAAATCCCCCAGCAGCTCTTAGCGAGAAAGATGAGGAGTCTTCTCCTGTTAAAATTTATGGCCTTAGAAACCTAGATGGTGGGTCTCTCTGAGTCGGCATCAACTCAGTGGCATTGACTTTGAATTTATGGGGTTTTTTGTTTTGAGAATTCTTTTTTTATTATATAGGTCTAAGTCCTTTGTGGTTTTCACTTGTTTTTGACCAGCCTGTAGGCTACCTTAAGGATTTTTTGTGAAGCAAAGTTTTTTAATTCATCAAGTTTTACTTTTGTTGATCATGTTATGCTTGCCTAGGTCTAGGAAGGTCTGGTGACTTAGTGGTAAAGAATTGTGCAGCCAACACAAAGATATGCGGTTCCAATCCACCAGGCTGCTCCATTAAGGAAAAAAATGGGCAGTCTCTTCCCTGTAGGGTTTACAGCCTCTGAAGACCTGCTGCAGGGTCAGCTATGAGTAGGTTACCACATGATACAAAACAGCAACAGATTCCAAATAGTAACTATTTCTTTCTCTACCTACATGTTCTAGTGTTTTGGTTTACCTTTAAGTCTATGATACATTTAAAATTTTTTTTTAAAGGTGTATGAAGTTAAGGTCAAGACTAATTTTTTTCTTGTATCATTTGCTTTTCTGTTCTTTTTCATTAATCTGTCTCAGTCATATTATATTTGTAGCTCTATAATATACCCAAAAAAACCAAACTTAGGTCATCGAGTTGATCCCACCTTATATCTCAGAGCCTTTCTATTGGGTTCCTGAACCTGGAGCTTAACAGGTAGGCTCCCGATCTTTCTTTCCTGGAGTTTCTAGTGAATTTGAACCTGCAGAGACTCTGACCCTTTTAGTAGTGCGGCATGCTGTGCACGGCACCCCTAGAGCACCCAAATGCAATAGTGACTGTTGTTGCTGTGTATAGGCCTTCTTATGAAATAAATGATCCATTCCCCTTTTCTTCTTTGTGAGCCTAGTTGTCACGGTTGTAAAAAAAATTTGTGCATTTCTACATACATTTGATACTGAAGTTGTCTGTAAGAACCTTGTTAGGATCTTGATAAGAGAAGCCGTGAAAAGTCAGTGGTTTGAGCCTGCCAGCAACACTACAAGGCAAAGAGATGGCGGTCTGCTTCAGCGAAGATTAAAACCCTCTGGGACAGTATTCCTCTGCCCAGAGAGTTGCTGTGGACTGGCATCAGCTTGACAGTGGTGGCTGTGGTTTCATTTTTGGTTTGTTAAAAGCTCTAGGTCTCTGGAGGAGCTGATCTTCGGCAGCTCTGCAGGAGGGTGGGCCGTCTCCTCCCATGCACTTTACAGCTTCCAAAAACCTTCCAGAGGAGCAGCTCTGAGTCAGCTGTGACTTGACTGTAATAAGTTTTGAGGTTTGAGTTGGAAGTTTAATTTAGGAGATGGCTTGTAGTTTTCCATTATCATCTTTTCAGAGGCTACAGGAGTTGTGGTGATTGCCAGATTCAGTCTTAGTGACATGGTTTTGGGTTTGTGGTTTTTTGGGGTTTTTTTTAGATTTTATTATTTTTGTGTGTATACCATCAAATCGGATCTGACTGGTACAGGTGATTGTCCTTCCTTCTCCAGCAGAGCATCTGGTGGATTCAAAGTGCATACCTCTGGGATTGCAGTACAGCTTCTTGCCACTAGGCCACCAGAGCTCGCAGTGACTTGGGCTTTTTATACTTTTGTAGATGTTAGGCAGTTTTATTTTTTTTTTTAAATCACAGCTTTTTGTTTACTAATCTCCATTTTCCTTTTCTGTACTTCATTGATTTCCTCTCTTATATCTTCTTTATTTCCTTACTTCTTTGGAGTTTAATTTATGCTCACATGATACCAGAATTCAGGTTATTAGAGTTTTTTTCCAAAATAAGCATTTAGTGCTATAACGTTCCTCGTCAGCACTGCTTTAGCTGCATCCCACTTATTTTCAATATATTGTCTTTTAATTTTTATTCAGGTCTGTATATTTTTTACATTTCACTTAAGACTCTTTTTAGTCCCAAATTATTTAGAAGTGTGTAGTTTAATTTCTATGTGATTAGTTATTTCCTGTTGTGTTTGTTATTGATTTCTAATTTGATTCCATGTGATCTGATTCTGTATGATTTTCGTTTGGTGTTTTAGGATTGTTGGGGATTTTATGGCTTCTCCTCCCTAAATTGTGCCATTTTGTTTTATAAACACTTACTTTGAAATGCCAGGTATTTTGTTTGTTTTTGGTTGTGGTGGGGTGTTTTTCCGGCTTGCTCCCTGTTACTGCCTCAGCCTGTCTCTATACGTCAGCATCTCAGCTAAAGCTGTTATTGCTTTTCTCTCATCGGCAGAGAAATGAGGCTCTGGATAGGCTAGAGGGCAGGAGCCACTCAGGTAGTGACAGACGTGTTCTTTGGACCTTTAAGAGCACTGTCTCCCTGGACCAGGCACGCCCCTGGTCTCCCACATATTAACCCTCCCTGTGACACATAATGAACACACAGTGAGGTTAGGGGTGGGGAGGGGTGGGGTGGGTACAAAGACAGCCCAGCCAGCCTCCTGCACCTTCAGCTCTTTCTAATGGGGTGGTAAGTGAGGAGGGGCAACTCAGATGCCTAAGAAGTTTAGGCCAAAACCTCAGAGACGACGCCGGGCTCTTGCCCGCCTCACCCAGGTCCGCCGGACGGCCCGCTCCCACCCTTGCAGACAGGCTAAGCGCAATGCCGAGAGCTGTCAGGGCAGTCGTCATCGCTGCCACCATAATACAGTGACTAAGACTGCCAGCCAGGTACGAGCAGCTGACACCTTCTCTGCCACCTACAGAGCTTACAAGAACAGTGAGGAACTTCGGTCTCGTATTTTGTCTGGAATCATCTCCCCAATCCATGACCACTCGGAAAAGGCCAGTGTGAGCAGTCCTCAACGAGAGTTCCCCCCTGCCACTGCCAGAGAGGTGGACCCACTTCGGATTCCCCCACACTACCCGCCTCACTCCACCCGGCAGCCTCCTTGGTGAGTACAGAGCCTCTCGTTCTACAGAGGGGCTCATCTTGTCCACTCTGTGCCGCTTAACCCCACGTATCTTCAGCCAAGACGTCAGCATCTTGGTGGGAGGAGGTGGAGCATGAAGAAGAGAGTTCTTGCACTTTTTTTGCAGAAAACCACACAGGGGCCCATAGTCTGCCCAGATGATTCATGATTATACATTTGAGAGCTCTTTGTGCAGATAGCATGGATCAGGTTTTTTAAAATATTTTCGTTGTTGTTGTTGCTGTTAGGTGCTGTCAAGTTGTAGACGAGTCATAGCGACCCTATGAATGAAAGACCTGAGCACTGTTCATACATAGAGTTTCCGGAGGCAAGCCATTTTGGAAGTGGATGCCACTCCTGCTTCCAGGCTTGTTTTAGTCGGGAAGCTCCAGCCAACAGTGTCCACCATGGGTACCCATTACCACGTTTGGCACATCACTGTCACAGTCTTCAGTATCACAGCAACCACGAGTCACCTCTGTACAGCAACACACAGACCAGTGCTATACCACCTAGAAGAATGTTTGACAGGAAAACAATTTGAACCCGGACTGAGGGCTACAGATTAAAATCACCCACCTTCGGCTTGGTAGCATAGAGGGTGATAACCTGCTCCCTCAGACCTACTACTATGTTAGAACAAATAGCCTGTAAAATCTCTTATGGTCTTGAAATGGAATTCATAGGTAATATAACTTAATACAGTTTCAAAATAAAATGGTATGAAGTCCTAATTATTCAAAAAAGAAATACTATATAGTCAAAGACTGTAGGGAGCTCTGGTGGCCTAGTGGCAAGAAGCTGCACTGCAGTCCCAAAGGCACGCAGTTCAAGGCCACCAGCTGTTCCATGAGAGAAGCATGGGCAATCTCCTCCCATGCAATTAAGTGCCTCTGAAAACCTTCTGGACGGTCAGCTATGGGTCGGTTCTGACTCTACGGTACTCAGTAACAATAAGTTAATGATAAGACAACTGTGCTACCAACGCAAAAGTATGCTGTTGAGATCTACCAGCTGCCCCACAGAGGCAAGGTTGGCAGTCTCCTCCTGTGCGATTAGCTGCCTCTGAAAACCCACTGTAGGGTCAGCTATGGGTCAGTTCCGACCTGACGGCACATCCCAGTGACAACATGTATGTAAGGAGGCAGATGCTTGTGCATGGACTTACTTTGGGCTCAGTGGCCACAAAAGGCTGCCTGATAAAATATTCTATCAGCAGCTCAACTACCACAAAAGTATATTGCTCTTAGGAACCCAGGTAGTGTGGTGAGTCAAGTGTTGGACTGCTAACGAAAAGGCTGATAGTTCAGACCCACTGTCAGCTGCTCTGAGAGAGAGAGAGTGCGTGTGCTCGAGCGTGAGCGCGTTTGCTCCTGTGGGGTAGCTCTGCTGTGTCCTGTCAGGCTGCTGCTATAACTTGGAATCGACAGTAATTTATTTTAGGTTTGGTGTTGCTGTTAGTCACATGAGTTCTTCGAACTGGTGTCCAGCTCTTAGGAATACCAGGGGAAATAATAGTATTAGTTCTTCAGTTACACCATGGCACATTTCTGGAAATTTTGTCTGTACCGAAACATTCAGAAAAATACTAATTGCATTCGTCTATAAAATAAATGGCTTCAGGTTCAAGTAATTTATGTAGATCCAGCTTTTTCATGAATATCTATCTGACAGGGCATCTGGAAGTTGTGTAATGCACAACTCATTTCTTCGTTGTGTGGGACTTAGCTGAATTCCAGTGCCCAGCATCTTATTTCTGCTTCCAAATGGCAGGAGTCCCCTCTGCCCTCACTCCCACCACTGTAACAAGCAGAGGTACAAGCATGCCTTCCAGGATGGCCACTTGAGACTGCTTCCCTACGTGGGACCCCTAGACCTCAAGCTGACAACGGTGAAGGTGAAAATCTAGAAGAACTGAAATAATTTCAAAGTTACTGTGTTGTAACTTCTACTGAAATAATGTACCAAGGCCCACATTTCAGTGACTGCTAACATGACTAGGTAAAAGCTGAGTAGGAGCTTTCCAATGGGTATATCAGGCTGCTAATACTGATAAGTTGGAGTCAACACTGAAAGTGTGAGGTAGATGCCACTTACTCTCCGGTTAAAGAGGCTGTGAGGGAGAGTGAGTTAGGCACCGTTAAAAGAGTTGTGAGACACAAAAGAGTGAGCGAAACAGTCCTATGATCATATATATAGTAGCCAAACCTGGAGCATGGAAAAATTTTATAGTACAGATGTACTTTTTTTTTTTTTATGGTTAAGAATTTTATTATCAAAATTATTACATCTCTTGTGAAAGTTCAAATGTTACAGCAAGGTGTAAACACTCCACTTGAGAAAGAAGTGATACTTCTTCCCTTCCAAGAGTCCCGTCCCCCCACCCCCCTCCCCCCAAGAGGTCTGGTCTTGACAGCACCCTGCCCACACAGAGTGGCTGGGGTCTCTGCACATGCCAGGCAGGGTGAGGGCCGCCTGCTTGCTGGCCTCTCCCCTTGGTTAACAGCCAAAGGGAGACTACAGATATACTTTTTAAAAAAGAAAATAAATGACAAGGATAAAAGAGGGAAAGATATTGTTACAAATTAAAAAAGACTTTAAAGAGGCATACTAGCTAGATTCTGGGACTTTGGGACCATAGTCTTAGGGGACATCAGGGTCAACTGGCATAACATACGGATAATGTTTTACCTCCTACTTCAGTGGGTGGCCTAGTGGCAAGAAGCTGTGCTGCAGTCCTCAAGTCACACAGTTCAAATCTACCAGATGTTCCATGGGAGAAGGATGGGCATTCATCTCCCATGCAGTTAACTGCCTGTGAAAACCCACCAGAGGATCAGCTGTGAGTTGGTTCCAACTCGACGATATACAACAGCTTTGGAGTTTAGCAGCTGGAGTCTTTACCACTTTCAAGCCGCCCTCTAAGGTACAACTGTTGATTTCCCCATACCCAGAATAAAGAGGAAAGAAAATCAAAGATGTATTTGATGCACTTAGTCCCGAAGACCAAAGGAACCATGGGAATCTCATTTTCCACAACCCTGTGACCAGAAGAATGAGATGGGCCCTGGCTACTACCACTGACCTCTCTGAAAGGGATCACAGTTGAAGATCCTGCATAGAGTGGGTGGAAAGATGGAGCAAAGCTCAGAAACACAAAAAGCCCAGACTTACTGATCAGGTAAAGACCAGTAAGTCCCTGAGACTGCACTATAGCCATAGTCACCTTTCAGATCTGAAACAAAACTCACCCCCATCGCTCAGCCTTCATCTAAACAGACAGGCCTGTAAAGTGACCAGTGAGAGCAGGCAGGCTCACTCCTTAGAGTAACCAACCATGGAAGGTCTAAAGAACAGCTTTTGCCCAATGATAAAGTCTGGGAAGGGCAGGAGAGAAGGCCTGCTGGGGATGGAATTCAGGGAAGAGATCTCAGCATGAGATCACATTGTAATCATTGTTATCAAGCAAAGTACTTAGGAATGAGTGAGGGGAAACCCAATCTGCCTTTTTAGATTTCCACTCAAATCACAGTAAAAAATAAATACACATATGACGGCACATAACAACAACAACAATGCAATTATACCAGTTAAATGTATCTTTTAAATAATTTTGAGACATTTGGGGAAATTTTAACATGAGCTATGTATTATGTAACATTTCAAATTGCTGCTAATTCTGTTAAGTGAAATAATTAAAAGTCTAGTTTGTTGTTTTGGATTTTTTAGGATAAGCCATTTATAAGAGGTAGTGTTAAAGTCTAGGATTTTCTTCTAAGTCATTTCAGCTCTGCAGGAGAGTAGGTGAGTGAAAGAGCTAGTGGAAATAGGTGAAATAAAAATGGCAGAATACTAATAATTACTGAAGTGAAGTGGAACAGGAGGGTTCATTATACTTTTTTCCTTACTGTTTTCTGAGATATTGGGAAATACTGGAGTAATGAGCTTTTTATTAATACCAGTCCTTCACAAATTTTCCTCAAAATAAAAAAGAAGACAGAGCAAAGTGCTCATTCTGCAAAGGCAGTATTACCCTGCTAGTCAAACCAAAGTAAACGACAGACTTAAGAATGTGGATATAAAAATCCTCACCCAAACACCAGAGAAATAAATGCAGCAGTGTATAAAAGGATTATACATCATGGCTAAGTGAAATTTATCCCGGGGATTATTGATATAGCAGCTGAAAAATCAATTTGTGTAATAAACCGTGTTAGTAGAATAAAGGACAAAAATCACATGATTATCTCAGTAGACAGAAGTAAAAAGCATATGCATGTTGCTAGGAGAGGTTTTTCCTTAGGGAAGAACATCCCATGCTTGGAAAGGTGGAATGTCGGCAAAAGAAAGGAAGACCCTCAACCAGATGGATTAGCATGGTCACTGAAATAATGAGCTCGATTGTGAGGATGGGACAGGACAGGGTTCAGATCTGTTGTTTTTAGGATTGCATGAGTTGACAGTACCTAACAATACTACCCTTTCATGATAGGAAAATAGGGTAGTCAGTTAACTGCACTGTTAACTCAAAAGCTCCTTATCTGGCTGTTTAAATCCACGAGCAGCTCGGAGGGAGAAAAATGTGTGATCTCGTCCCATCGTGATTTACAGCCTAAAAACCAATGGAGGGTCTTTTTTAGAACTAGCTCAGTCACAGTGAGTTTGGAGCTTCATGAACAGACCAAAAAAGAAAAAAAGATTCAACAATAGAAGGGAACTTCCCAACTCAATAAAAAGCAGCTACAAAAATCTGCACAGCTCATGTCATGGAGAACTGAGTACTTTCCTTCTAGATGGACATGGTGACTGCAACAGTGTACTTAGACCCCAAGGACATTGTGACAGTGCAGAGTCTGGCATTTCCATCCTCTGGTACACAAGGCAGCTCCACGCTAGAGCCTCCTCTCTAGCACCTCGCCAAGAGATCAGGAACAACACAAGGAGAGCATATCTTGCCACTCCTGTTCACATTTTGCCTCAGT